GAGAGGAAGACGCCGACGAGCGCGCCCAGCGTCTGGATGAGAGTGGTGGCCAACTCGGCGCTCGGCTCCCATTCGGTTTCGTTCACCGAAGCGTTCATTTTGCGCCAACTCTGCGCAGACGCCGCAGCGAAGTGCCGCTCCGGTCACGTGACGACAGTTCGTGTCTCAGAAATGCGGAACAGATTTTGTCCTCATTTTCGCTGAACTTTTGACTCTCTTTTGGTTCGAAAGAAAACTCGTTTTAATTGTGTTTTGCAGAAAAGAGTCTTTTCGAGGGTTTCTCCGAATGACGTCTCGTTTTAAGTGTTTTTGTTTCAAAGTTTTGATGTAAACGTAATTTATGTATTCATTGCCTATTTATTCAATAAAAGTCTAAACACACGACTAGTGTCGCCATCTGTCGTCACAATTCGCACACAATTAGTGCCAAAACAAACCGTTAGTATATTTAGAGGTAAAAGACGCCCAAAAATGGCGAAACAGTTGTCGACGACTTAATCGCGACTCTGGGATCCGCTTGTCACTATGAGAGCCGCTCGCTACAGGTGCTTCTCGAGCGTCAGCCCAAGACCGCGAGTTACGCTTGTGTTGAGAGAGTAGTCTTCTGTCAAGAAGTTTTATCTCTCAAACGTTTTGCTCACATTCACTTGTCGTCTGTTGTCGTCGTCTGTCGTCTCAATTGTTGTCGTTTAGTGTCGTTATTAAGGCTCGAAAGGGACGCTCTGTTGGGAGAGAACGAGAGGTTGACCTTTCAGTTGCAGTGTTTGACTCACGCGGAGATCGACCAGAGGGTTGACCAGAGGTCAGTTGTCCAGCTGTCCACTACTGCTCTCATTGTTTGTTTGTTTCCATAGAAACGGCGCGAAAGACGGACTTAAATGCGAGGAAAAGAATCTCAAGTAATGTTTAAATTAGAGTTTATTTTGTCGTTAATTGTCAAACAATTGATGACGTAATGAACAGATGTTGTGTTGAGTGCGCAGACGCAGTGACACCACTTTCTATTAGCAGTCAATACGACTTCTCGCGACCGCCGGTGACGTCATCGCAGACCACATCCCAGGAGTGTTGTTACGAATTGTCGCAACACTTGATCGACCGCAGAGTCGACGCCTTGGAGCGCAAGTACGGCGGGATCGGCGCGCGAGAGTCGGCCACAACAATACAGCGCGCGTTCAGAGCGTATCGGCTGCAGAAGCGCTTCCAATCGATCGCAATCCAGGCGTTGCGCCAATCGGAGGACACGACGACAGCGCGACGCCAGCTGTCGTCCGACACGACGTCCACGCGCTCTGACGACAGCTGTTCGGCGAACGCCTTCATCCCGGAGTCGTTGCTGACGACGACGCCGACGACGCAAACCGTTTCGGAATGTCAGCGAAAGCGCTCTTATCGCGTGGGACTCAACCTCTTCAACAAGCAGTGAGTGTTCATTGGCTGTCAGTTCTCATGACTAATCACGTGACTTCGCAGACCGTCGGAACGCGGCGTTCAGTTCCTGCTTTCTAACGGATTCATAGAAAGCGTGGCGAACGCTGAACAACAATCGCTTCTCGTCGCGCGATTCCTCTTAACGAGGAAAGGCGTCTCCAAGGCCATGATCGGGGAGTTCCTCTCCTGTGTCCCGAATGCCGCCGTTTTGACCGCTTTCTCGCGCGAAATCGATTTGTCGGGCCTTTTGGTGGACGTCGCGCTCCGGAAGTACCAGACGTTCTTCAGATTCCCCGGTATTCCCGCTCACGGCTCTGATTCGCCGATTCTCACTCTCTCTCCTCCAATCACAGGCGAGGCGCAGAAAATCGAACGAATGGTCGACTCTTTCGCCACGAGATTCAAAGAATGCAATTCTCACGACTCGCTGTCACGTGACTTCAGTGATACTCTCGGCGAGCGATGTCCACGAAGAGCTCGCAGTCGGGTTCTGGCGCTCAATGCGAACACAACTCTCTCATCAGAAGACAGTTCTTCAAAATAGAGAGTTTGCAAAACGAGTGTAAGTGTCGTCTCTGTTGTCGTCGTCTGTCGTCTTCTCACACATTGTTGTCGTTTAGTGTCGTTATTAAGGCTCGAAAGGGACGCTCTGTTGGGAGAGAACGAGAGACTGACGTTTCAGTTGCAGTGTTTGACTCACGCGGAGATCGACCAGAGAGTTGACCAGAGGTCAGTTGTCCCGCTGTCCACCACTGCTCTCATTGTTTGTTTGTTTCCATAGAAACGGCGCGAAAGACGGACTTAAAGGCGAAGAAAAGAATCTCAAGTAATGTTTAAATTAGAGTTTATTTTGTCGTTAATTGTCAAACAATTGATGACGTAATGAACAGATGTTGTGATTAGTGCGCAGACGCAGTGACACCGCTTTCTATTAGCAGTCAATACGACTTCTCGCGACCGCCGGTGACGTCATCGCAGACCACATCTCAAGAGTGTTGTTACGAATTGTCGCAACACTTAATCGACCGCAGAGTCGACGCCTTGGAGCGCAAGTACGGCGGGATCCGCGCGCGAGAGTCGGCCACAACAATACAGCGCGCGTTCAGAGCGTATCGGCTGCAGAAGCGCTTCCAATCGATCGCAATCCAGGCGTTGCGCCAATCGGAGGACACGACGACAGCGCGACGCCAGCTGTCGTCCGACACGACGTCCACGCGCTCTGACGACAGCTGTTCTGCGAACGCCTTCATCCCGGAGTCGTTGCTGACGACGACGCCGACGACGCAAACCGTCAGCGAATGTCAGCGAAAGCGCTCTTATCGCGTGGGACTCAACCTCTTCAACAAGCAGTGAGTGTTGCCATGACTGCGATACTTATGCTAATCACGTGACTTTCGCAGACCGTCCGAAAGAGGCGTTCAATTCCTGCTTTCGAACGGATTCATAGAAAGCGTCGCGAACTCTGAACAACAATCGCTTCTCGTCGCGCGCTTCCTCTTAACGAGGAAAGGCGTGTCGAAGGCCATGATCGGGGAGTTCCTGTCGTGTGTTCCAAACGCCGCCGTTTTGACCGCTTTCTCGCGCGAAATCGATTTGTCGGGCCTTTTGGTGGACGTCGCGCTCAGGAAGTACCAGACGTTCTTCAGATTCCCCGGTATTCCCGATCCGCTCTTCTGATTCGCCGATTCTCACTCTCTCTCCTCCAATCACAGGCGAGGCGCAGAAAATCGAACGAATGGTCGACTCTTTCGCCACGAGATTCAAAGAATGCAATTCTCACGACTCGCTGTCACGTGACTCTGTCTTCATCCTGTCGTTCGGTGAGTGCTGTGACGTCACTCCATCTCTCTCACACGTGACTCTCTTTACAGCCATAATAATGCTGAACACCGACCTTCACGCGCCGACGAACGCCAGGAATCGCATGACTTCCCAACAATGGCTCCAGAATCTCAAGAACGTCTTCTCTGACGTCACGCCGAGCCAACAATTCCTCCTCGAGATCTACCAAAGAATCAAAGCGCAGGAGTTGCGGACGGGCGCCGACCACGTGACCCAAGTGGCCAAAGTGCAGTCGGCCGTCATTCCGCCGTCGCGCGGCGTCTCCATTCCGCCCCTGTGCGTCGAGTGGCGGCGCCTCGTTTGTTACTGTCGTCTCTACGAGATCCGCGACCAGAACAAGAAAGAGTCACGTGATCGCCACCAGAGGGAAGTCTTCCTCTTCAACGACCTGTTACTCGTCACCAAACTCTCGTCGCGCGCCAAGAGCGTGCAGATGCCGGAATACGTGTTCCGCGAGACCTTCTCTCTGGAGGCCATGTCCGTCTCGCTCTTCTCCTCCCCCTTTCACCGCTTCGGCATTTCCCTCGAACGCCGTCTCGACGCGCAGCGCCCTCTCGTGCTGTTCAACGCGCGCAACGAATTGGACCAGAAGCGCTTCTGCGACGACTTAAGGGAAAGCATTCTTGAGGCGCGCGAAATGGAAACCATTCGAATCCACAAATCCAACTCTTTGCTCACTCTGGAGAACGCGACGCAACAATCCAACAGCAGTGGTCAACAGCCAATCAGGAGGAAGTCCTCGTCGGGCTCTCTCGACTCCGGCCTCTCCCTGCCGTCACGTGACCACTCGCCGCAGACGCAGGCGCAGAAGCAGAACAGCGATTGACATTAAGGCTTTATTGTAAATAAACAGATTTTATTCTTTCTTCGGACACGTGTTCAAAGTGCGCGCGCTCTCCGCCAGGTTCTTCGCCACAGTCTGCGTCTCGCGCGCCTTTATCTTTATTCTATTGTTGACGTCGCGCACGGCGTCGCTGACGAGGCGCGCGCTCGCCGCCAGTTGCTGCGCGAACTCCGACACCCGTTTCGCGCTCTCGCTCAACTGCAACGCCTTCTCCTGGAACTCTTTCAACAGTTGGCGCGCGACGTCTCCCTCGCCCTCACTCTCCACTTGCAGACGGCGCGCGCTTTCCACCAACTGTTGCGCCAATCGCTGCGTTTCGCGCGCCGAGAACTCTCTCTGGCCGTGATTTGGCGCGAAGGGCGGGAACGGCGGTCGGCCAATGGGGACCAAGTACTCGACAATGGGTTGCGACGCAGAGAGCGCGAGAAACGCAGAGAACAAGAGCAGAGACGCCATCACTGAATGGCCTTCACTCCAAGGCGTTCACTTTCTCGAGATTCAAAACATTATTGCAAAACTTTTATTTCTCTTTAAAACCGGATTTCAAACAAAAATTCATTTCTTTTTATAAAATTTCGCCAAAGAGTGGAAAGAATGTCCCAAATGTCCTCCCAGGCCGTGGTAACCATGGTAACCGCCGCCGCCGCCGTAGTGGCCCAGTCCCACGTACTTCACCACCGGCGCGTAATGACCGCCGTATCCATGGTAACCCCCGGAATACAAACCGCCGTATTTGCCGCCATAACCGCCGTAACCATGGTAACCGGGGTAGTATGAGTGTCCGTAAATGGAGCCGCCGTAGCCATGGTAACCGAGTTTGCCGCCGTACCCGCCGTATCCATGGTAACCGCCGTAGTATTTGGGCCTCACGTAAGAGACGAGCACTTGGGGAACGATCACGCGCTTCGACACCACGACTGTGGGCGCCAACCCGTAGCCATGGTAACCCAGTTTACTGCCGTAGCCGTGGCCGCCGTAGCCGCCCAGATAGCCGCCATAGTGGCCGCCGTAGATCTTGGGCGAGTAGTAGCGCGCGGCATAAGGAACTGCGGCGCAGAGCGCGACGAACGAAAGCAGAATCTGGAATTAAAGTCATTGTTGAGAGAATGGAGAAACTTGAAGCAAAACTCACCAAAAGGCGCATTTCGTCAATAATGCTGTTGAAGCGCGCGTTCGCAGCCTTATATGGACGCGGCGTGTCCTTCGCGCGCGAAGACTAATTGTCGTTTCCTTGAGATGCAAATTGGATGCAAATGAGAGAAACGCCCGAAAAAACAAAACTTTTATTAAAATCTCTGAAAATACAATCATTATTTGGGAACATTCGGAAGCGCGTGTTGCGGTGGCGCCCCCTGGTGCGCGGGCACCTGTTGGTGCACAGCCTGCTGCTGTCCCTGCGGGTGTTGTTGTGGAATGGCCTGCGGGTGCAGTTGCTGTTGTTGTTGTTGGCCTTGGGGCGGAAGCGCGTGTTGACCTTGAGGGTGTTGCCCTTGATCGGGTTGATACTGCGGTTGGTTCGGGTGATACTGTTGTTGTTGCTGTGGCGCCATCTGCTGGTGAGCCAACTGCGGCTGGCCGTGCTGTGGATACTGCTGCTGCTGCTGTGGCGGCGGTTGCCCCTGGTGGGTTGATACTGCGGTTGGTTCGGGTGATACTGTTGTTGTTGCTGTGGCGCCATCTGCTGGTGAGCCAACTGCGGCTGGCCGTGCTGTGGATACTGCTGCTGCTGCTGTGGCGGCGGTTGCCCCTGGTGACCATATTGTTGTTGCTGGTACTGCTGCTGCTGTTGGTTGAGCGCGTGGTGTTGCTGTTGTTGGAACTGTTGCTGTTGGTATTGTTGCTGCGCGTGCAGCGGGGCGTTCGGCTGGAAGTGCTGCACAACGACAACAATCAGTTATTCGCGCAAAACAGCATTCACACTCTACTGACCTCTGGCGGCGGGTAGTGGTAGCCCTGGGGGTAGTATTGGGGCACGTATTGTTGGTACGCGTCGTACTGCTCCTGGTGCTGCTGGTGCTGCGGCTGCCGGTGCTGCTGCTCCCTTTGCAGCTTATATTGCCGCAACTCCTCGTCCGTGTATTGCTTCGTCTCCTCCACGCCCTTCCACTCGTCGTCCCTCTCGAAGTCCATGCGTTTCGTGAACTCCAGGAACTCCTTCTTCGAGATCAGACCATCTCTATTCGCGTCCGCCTCCTTGTAGATGTGTTCCCTCATCCGATGATATTCCTCCTGCATCTCGTTCGGGTCGCCATTGCCCCCCTCGTACATCTTCCGCACCTCCACCCCCAATATGGCCTCCACCTCCTGCGCGTCCAGAAACCCGTCCCCGTTCACGTCGTGCATCGAGAAGAACACCTTCGGGTCGAACTCCTGGCGCGGCATGTGGTCTTTGCTCTCCCACACCTCCTCCAGCTGCTGCTTCGAGCCCGGGTGGTGGACGCGCGCGTGCGTCTTCCGCTTCTCCTCCATTTGTTTCTTCCTCTCTTCGATGGCGTGTCTCTCACTGGCGTTCACGCTCTCCAACACCTCCTCGTAGCGCAACTCCTTCTCCATCTCGTACTCTTTGAAGTCGTGCCGCCGCTTCGCGTCCAGCGCCTCCAAGTCACGTGACGCCGACACGATCAGCTTCTGCAGGTCCTGCGCCTCGAACGAGTGCGGGTTCGCGTGGTCCACGTGCTCCGCGTCTAAACAGCCAATCAGAGTGAGTCACAGTTCAATACAATCACGTGTGTTAGCGAAGAGTTAGTAACCAATAGAGTGCGAGTCCGCCCCCAGCGTGCGCCACCTTCGCCCCGAGTCATCCTCACCCCCTTCGCGCGCCTCCAGCGCTTGCTCTTTGCGCGCCAACACCCGCAGTCTGTCCATTTCGATGCGCTTCAGTTCGTCCAACTTATTCCTCACGGAATGCGACACAAAGTCCAGCTCTCGCGCGATCGCGCCGTTCTACGAGAGAAAGGGTTGTAGTTGTGATGAGCGCACAGTTCCCTACCTTGATCTCGTCCTGCGACACGTTCTCGAGCTTCTTCGCGAACTCCTTGTCCTCCTCGAGCGCCTCCACCACCTGTTGCAGATACCTGCCGTACTCCAGCCCCAGTTCGTCGATCTCGCTCTTTATCTTCGCCTCGTCTTTACTCTCATCCTCTTTGGTGTGTTCTTCTGGCTTCGGCTCCAGAACGGGCGCCGCGAACACGAAGCACAGCACAGACAGGTAGAGAAGGGCGCAGACCAGAAGAATGCAGCGAATGTCCATCTCTTCAGTTGTAAACACACGTCACTATTAGTGACAATACTGTGACAACAACTCCACGGCGCAGGCGCGACAACTCTACTATTATCCACAAACTGCGCGCACAATCTGTACTCATTGCGAATGTTGCGTACATTTCACTGCAATCGCGATTGCATTCGATTTAGTCATCAAAACACGCATTCATTCCCTTTCGGACCCAAAGACTGACCAAAGAGTGGACAGAGGTGTCAATCAATGGTCACGTGACGCTTAAAGGGCTCTTTGTTGGCGTCAGTCATCTGTTGATGGCTGAGCAGCCAATCAGGGAAGAGCTCTTTGTGGCTCTCAGGGGGGGCAGAGGGGGGGACAGGACTGAACAGGAATTACATAACACTTCTGTCGTGACCTTGAGATCAATTCATAGGGAAATTAATGGTAAAAAGAGTTTTTATTAAAATTGATTTTTTGATACAATATTTCTCGAGATTTAGAGATCTTTCGGAAAAAGTTCCGAAAATTTGACTCAAAATACAAAATATATATTTCATGCGATTTTAAACAATAATATAAATACAAAATGGCGTCAATAATAATGGTTCGCTCGCTCTTCGGGCGAAGACATGTATATTTACACACAATTGTCGCACAATTAGGACAACAATGAGTTCAAATAGAAGGACGTCTTCTGCGACGTCTGCTGTCGTCTCTGCGACGACGAGCTGTCCATCGCTTGGAACCAATTGGGCGACGAAGACGGCGACGACGCCATGGAGGAGGACTGGGAGGACGAGGAGGTGAAGTGCGAGGGCGTGGGCGACGGCGAGAGTGTATTCAATGGCTCGTAGATGACGCAGATGGAGCCGTTCTCGCCGATCCTGTACGACACCTCCTGCGGGTCGATCCAGAGGGTGAGCTCATTGGGGAAGAGCATTCTTAATACCGCGTCATTCAATCCGCAGAGACGGCCGGCGGCGGCGAGCGTGGGGTCCATCTTGTGGTTGATGCGGAGACAGCGATAGGCGGAGCCCTTGTTCGGGCGGTCGGGGAACCAGTGGTCGACGTAGAGGGCGACCAAGTGGTCGATTATGGTGAGGCGGAAGCGCTCCAATAGGGGCGCGGAGGGACAGCTCTGGTGCACCCTCAGGAGGTCGGAGAGGAAGTTGGCCGCGCTTTCGACCTCTAATCGCATTTTGGACACAAAGACCAGAACTGAGTTTCGCTGAGATGTGAGCTCTTGTCTCGCGTTCACAACAATAACCGTTCGCTTTATTCGCAAACAAACAGCAGAGGAGAGTGACGTCACAGGAGTAGACCAATGGCCGCACTGCGCGCTCCTGTGTCGGAGAGTAGCGTACAGTCGACACCCGATAGAGGAAACCCGCGTGACGTCACACAAAGAGAGTCAATGAAATGTTTTGTTTTGAGGAAACGCGAGACAACAACTGCGCGATGACGACAGCTGTGGTCGTCATGGAAACGGCGAAACAGTCATGTGTTTTCCGAAATTACGTGAACATAAGTTTATTTCAAAACAAAGAATAAATAAAAACAACTTTTATCACAAATTAATCACAAATTAATCACAAATTAATCACAATTTCGAAACCGTTTCCGAAAACTCTTGGAACTCGTCGTGAAAAGCGTCGGAAAACTTGCGGAAACAGAAGTGTCCGCCGCACCGGAAGTTCAGCGCTCGCAGCCAATCACCATTCAGCGCGCGCCGCTCCCATTGGCCGTCCTCCCCGACGTGCGTCACGTGACGTTCGCTTCCCAACCACTGCATTGTTCTCTCGTTCTTCCATTTGGGGAATAATCCGTCTTTTGCGCCGAAAACCACCAAAAGGGGAATTCTCTTCGCTTTCAACGCTTTGTAGCGCTTCTCGAGATTGCGTTCGAATTCCGAGAACGCGACCAAAAAACTCATGCCGAAGAAGTCGTCGCGCGTGCACTTCCGCAACAATGTCGCCGACACTCCGAACGCGCGCATCACGCGATCCGACATTAAGATTAGAAACAGCCAGCGCTTCCACGCGACGGCCGCCGTGCGACACATGCGGCGCGCGTTCGCCAGATGGCGCTCATTGAGCCACTGATGGCCGGGCGGCGTCAGCATCACGAGCGAGTCGATTGTTAGCGCGTTCTCCTCAATGAGTTCCAATGCGACGGGATTTCCGCCCGAATGACAGACCATTGAGTGCACGCGCGTCACATGTAGGGCTGCAGTGAACGCGTGGACGAGTTGCGCGCGCTCTGCGTTCGAGTGCCAGAACTGACCGGAAGTGCGGCTGAAGCGGAAGTCCGGCAGTTGCGGACACAGGAGGCGGAAGTCTTTTGCGAAGCGGCGGAAGAAGAACTCGAAGTCGACGACACTTCCCGGCATGCCGTGGAGTAGAAGAACGCAGGGTTTGGCACTGTTTGTCCCCTCCGCGGTGTCGACGTACTTTATGCGCACTTTGAGTCCGTTTTTGGGAACATTTCGCCACAAATTGCGCACAAATTGTCGCAAATAGTGGTCTCTGTGTTGAAGAGCGCGATAACAATCAGAGCCGAACTCGAGCTCCAGTTCTCGCAGTCGAAACCCGATTCGACTTTCGATCGCTTTTTCACTGATTTTCGGCTCATTTTCTCTGAAATGTCGGAACAGAACCGAAACGACGCGAAAGACGACAACAATTAGAAACGAGAGCGCAATCAAAGAGATAAACATCGCGACACGTAATTCGCGATTCCTGTTCGGACGTAATTTGTGGACTTTGTGCAGAATTGACGAATTCTGTGACAAAAGCAGAGATAAAGCTGTGATAAACGTCTCGTTATTGCGATTGTTATGCGATTGTTGTGTAAGAGTTGCGCAATCGTTGCAAATAACGAGAAACCAGTGTTTACTCGAAGAAAGACCGAAAGGAAGACAGAAGACATGCTTTCGCTGAAGACGCGCACGAACTCCCACTTCAAGCTCCTGCTGGACATTCTGCTGGTGTCGCTGGCCCTCCGCTCCGCCCGCCGCGTGTCGCTCTGGACACTGTTGGCCTGTGTCTCGTATTTCGACTTCTTCGACCCTTTCCTCCACTCCGACGACAACTCGCATCTGCGGCGGCCGTCGCGCCAACAATGAACACAATGACTGAATACTGAATTGCGATATTTTGCTAATAAATAGTTTAATTGTTGTCTCGCAACAGCTCTTGCAGACGCCGGATGTACTTGATGGCCGACTGCAGCGTCTTGATCTTCGAGAGCCGTCGCGGCGGCGGGTGCTGCAGCTCGGCCGGGATCACCGCCCGGAGCCGGTTGAGCGCGTCGTTCAAGCGGTGCATGCGGCGGCGCTCCTGCTTGTTGGCCAGGTCGCGCTTCCTGTCGAGCTCGAGCTGCGACAGGTGCTTCTTGTTCTTGTACTTCTTCCACGTGCGCACTTTGTCGAGCGAGGAAGTGGTGCGGCGGTGGTGCGAGCGGTAGCTGGCGTCCATCGGGTCGTCGTGGAGGTCGAAGGCGAACGGCGACTCCTGCGGACACTCTTCGTCGAGGTGGTCGCTGAGCAGCGCCGACGCGTGCTTGCAGTCGAAGTCGTCGTAGAGGTGGTCACGTGACGGCGACAGCGACGGCACGTTCAGATTGACGATCGAGATGTTGTCCAGAGAGTCGATGAACACTGCAATGGGAAAGGGGTTAGGAGGGAGGGAGAGATAGGGGCGCGCTCACCGATCGGTTCCATTGTTGCCAATGTGTTTTCACATAAGAAAGAGAAATTGCAGAAAAGGCACGCGTGGGGGCGGAGTCTGAAAACATCTTTATTTTGCTTTCGCTTTCTTAAGTACACATTTATTGCATGTTTTTGAAGACGAGAAACACGGCGACGACAATGGCCAGCGCGCCCACAATGATAAACACCACGCACACCACGTTCACCGCGCGCCTCGTGCCCAACAGACGCGACTTGAACATGGAGGCGAACTCGTCGCTGAGCGCGCCCGACTGCTGCACCCACAGCACCGGCACCAGGAAGTCCTTCCCCTTCCGCGTCGCGTTCAGTTGCCTAAATGGGAGAGAGTGAGCGCCTTAAGACACAATCACCACTCACTTGATGGCGTCCGAGTGGCCGATCCTCACGTTCAGCTGCATGCGCTTCACGGCGTTCAGCGGCGCGCCTGTCGTCTAAGAGACACGCATTAGTATTGATATAGTGCAGAGCGTGACTCACGGGCTCGATGTCGAGGAAAGTGCCGTAGTTGTCGAAGTTGACCTCCAGGGGCGGCACGAGGCGCACGTTGTCGAACTGCAGCGCGCGGTCGCCGTCCATGAAGTACGGCCACGAGAGCACGATGGGCGCGCCCCCTGTCGCCGCCAAACAGTGCGACAGCTCCAGCAGACCGTCCACCGCGCACTCCGACACGTTCTTCTTCAGACAGTAACACGTGTTCTCCCTGTGGTTGGCGGCCGCGCCGAAGAAGTGCCTCGGAGTGACGAAGCGCAGACACGGGATGTCCTTCACGCTGGACTCGCGCTGGAAGGCGAGCGCCACTGAGCGACAGATGGAAGGGTCGAAGGCGTAGATCTGGTCGTTGGGCGACACGTCGGGGCCGAAGAACGTGCCGTCGGTGCCGCGGAAGCGCAGACACGAGTGCTGGGCGTCGTCGTGGAACGGCCAGATGGGCGAGCGCGCCGTGTCCGTGTTGCGCAGCATCCTAGAGAGAGGGCTATAGACTATAGTGCTGCAGTTGGGGTCACGTGACGCTTACGTGTTGTCGCCCCACTTGTGGATCTGTCCCAATCTTGTGGAGTCGCCGATTCCCGTCCACACCGTCAGCCGGTCGTCCGCCAGGAAGTCGCGCCCCTACAGAGAGAGTTACAAGACACACATGACAGCGGCTCACCCCCGTGATGGAGAACTTCTTCATGGAGATGCCTGTGCCCGCGGGCATCAACGGCGCCAACAGCCGCACGAGTTTCAGGTCCACGCCGTCCAGCAGCAGATCGCCGGCCCGCCTCGTGGTGAAGAGCGACTTCTCGTTGTCGTCCAACTGGTCGGCGAACATGTCGAACGCCATCTTCGCGTCGGGCAGCACCTGGTTGAAGAGCACGCCCTGCGCGGCAATGGCGTTAGTGCACTGAATCAGAGCACCTGCACCTACCATGATGGGCGCGTTGACGAACGTGATGTTGTCGTCGAGCGTGCCGTTGGAGAGGTCGGCGCGGAACACGTACTTCTTGCGCTCGCGATACGACACGAGCGTGTGGTTGTCGTTCCAGCGCAGCTCCTCTTTCGAGCGCCACTCCTCGAACACCCAGGGCCCCCGCGCCTCCATCTCCACGTCCGAGAGCGAGGTGTAGGCGCGCGCGTTCTTCGGCGCGAACACGTGGAACGCCATGAGCGCGGGCAGCGGCAGAGTTTGCCAACTCTTGAAGTTCTCCGACGCGTTCACCAGAAGCGAGCTCTGGAAGGGAATAATTGTGAATTGTCGGCGCGTGCATCTAAAGTACAAACTTCGATGATTTTGTTGCGCAGGAAGAGCGGAAAGAGCGCCAGAATGAGAGCGCCAACAATCGTCAGCGCGAGACCGCCGACGCCCAGAGCGCCGAACGCGATGTGTTTCGAATGCATCGCAAGAATGGGAACGAGAAGAATGAGAGCGAGAATGAAGTTTGAATTCTGTCTGAACTTAACCTTCAGTTTGAAAAGCAATAAAACAAACGATTATTAGTTTTGAGAGAAAACTAATGAAAGAATCGATAAAAAAATTACTCAAAAATTAGTCATTATTTCGCCTTAAGTGCAGTTTTGGAAACAATTATTCACTTCTCAGCGAATTATTCACAACTTGTGCGCCAATTGTTAATTACAGTGTTTTACACGCGAAGAGACGGAAAATGGTGTGAATTTCAACATTAATTACATTTGCGTTTGAATATTGAATATTGAATTCAAATGAGAATTGAAAGCAATTCTTGAATGTGTTTAACGTTTGAAAGCAATAAATATTTACTTTTTGTTCATTTGTTTGTCTTTTATTGCGTTTTGTTTCAAAACAAGTCATTTATTGGAAAACATTTCGAGAAATGTATTTAATTTAAGTTATATTTTACATTCAAGAAACAATTCTCGTTATTGGAATTAGTTTTTGCATTATTGGCAGCAATTGGTGACAACAATGCGCACGACGTTCGGGTCGTCCTCAGCGTCGTCCAGTCGCAGCAAATCAGCGTCTCTCCTCTTCTGCACCGCGAGCTAACAATAGTTGGCATCAGTTTCAGGCGTTTTTGCTCACAACTCACCGTCTGCTGGAAAGCGCTTGTTTTGCGCGCGAATCCTCTGTTGTTGCGATATTCGGATATTGCGGAGTTGCGAACAAACAGCGATTATTCCCAGAATCTGCGCGAGAAGAGGGAAAAGAGTGAGAAGTGGACAATGGAGGGACATTGGGAGACGTTGAGCGCGCAGTGGACGACGTCGACGGCGAGGAAGAAGAGGTCGGCGCGCGACTCCTGAACACAGAGAGAGATGTAAATGTAATTAAAGACAATTTCGAGACTTTCTCACGATTTGCAGGAATTTGAAGGAAAGGAAGCAATCGTTGATTGTTGCGAACGCGAGAACAAAGATATATGGTTTCAGGAGGGGAGAAGAGTCGGAGAGCAGACCGACGATGAGAGCGAGCGATGAGATTATTGTTGCGAAGGAGACGACGAGAAGCGCGAGAGAAGAGAGGAAGAGATCTGAAAACGAAAACAATTAAAAGTCAGTGAACTTTGAGTTCATTTCAAACCTCTTTCTTTGGTGTTCACGTGAAAAGCGCAAGACGTGAAGATTGTTGTGTAGAAAGTCTGCGAAAAGAGAATTCTCGTGATTTATGACTTATTTGCGGACAAAAAACCAATTCTTGTGTTAATAATGAAAATAATGTCAAAAAGACTTAATTTCTGACCAAAAGATCACGTGATTCTCGTTTCTGACAAAAAATCGATTGTTTTTTGAATAAAACGTTATTTTTATTGAATTTTGAAAACATTTTTTGAAAGCTTTTAAGATTTTCGTCAAAAATAAGTGTATTTTCAATAAAAACACATCTTTTGTCACAAAAAGGGTTAAAATGTCAATATTTTTATGCATTTCTCAATAAATGTCTTTTTCTCAACATTTTTATTGAATTTATTGAGAATTTAAACAATATTTTAGTGTTTTATTGAATTTCACGAAAAATTTAATCAATTTTTGTCAAATATATAACATTTATTGAAAGAAAAGATAGTTTTTAATAAATTGTGAAAAAAATCATTAAAAGTAAAACTAATTTGAATTAAATGTAAAATAAATAAATATTTTGATAAAAATATAAATCTTTAAAGAAATGAAATCTTTTTGACTTTTATGTGATTTTTCGTCAAAATTATTGATTAAAACATAAAAACATTTCTTTTTATAAATCTTTTATTGCTTTCAATAAAAAACATTCAAAAAAGTCGTAAATTTTGATCAAAAATCTCAGAAAAGAGTCAAAAATCGGAACAAAATAACTGTTAATTAGAGAATAATGAGAATAACGGTAAAAAATGGTGTCAATACTGACCATGGTGAAGATCGCGGTCGCGAAACTCGCTTTTCTCGCGCTTTCAAAACACAAACATTTCTCTATTTTTGCCATTTATTTAATGAAAATCCTTTTTCACACAAAAATCAAGAGAAAAACAGTTTTCAATGAAACTTAACTTTTCAAACATTTCGATAATAAAAACAAAACTATAATTAAAGCGTTCTTTCATTTAGTTATTTAAGATTTTCATAAGATTTCGAATTTCAGTAAAACATTGACTTTCGATTCAAAGTGTGATCGACGCGAGCGCTCCCGGCGTTCAACACAACAACTATAATGTATTGCAATCTAATGGAGTATTGGTCGCCATCTATCGGTCGGCGCACAAAACTATGATTTTTATTGCTAAATCATAGTTTTGTGCGCCGACCGATAGATGGCGATCAATACTCCATTAGATTGCAATACATAATAGTTGTTGTGTTGAACACCGGGAGCGCTGGCGTCGAGTGTTTTACGGATTGGAAATTACAGTTACATTCAAAGACAGAATTTGTGACAATTTTGGCAAATAATCACAAAAATTCATTTTCAAGATTTATTTCGAAGAATAAACGCAAAGAAGAGACAAAATTCGAGAAAATGTGTGTAAAAAGGAAAATGAATTCCGAAATCAATAATTCGTTAATTTATTTGAAATATCCTTACATTTGATGAATAAAAATGCAATTTTCAACGCAAACATTGTTTTCACAACTCATTCAAAGTTTGTCTAATTTTGTGCCAATTTTTCATTTTCATCAAACATTTTAACGCATATTTCGAGACAAAAGTGTTGACCTTTGGGTCAAAAGGGAAACAAAAGTGTTTAAACGGCAAACTATAAGAA